ATTAAAAATTTCTAGAGAATTTAAACCTTATAGAGTTCAGCCAGTCCAGCGTGGTGATAAATGGGAGAAAAAACAAATTCTTAATAATGAAATAAAAAATAAAAGAATATTATATAAAAAAGGTTCTAAAAACAGGAATAGAAATGAATATAGAAAAAATCATTGAACAATTAGAAAAAGTTTATGGAGAAAATTCATTATTATTTTGAAAACCATATGCCAAAATAGAATTAACAGAAAATATTATAATAAGAGTAAAACCAATGATTTATACTATAGAAGATACACAAGAATTTAAAAATCAGATAAAAGAATTGTTAGAACAAAAACTTATTAGACCTAGTAATGAACCTCATAGTAGTGCAGCCTTTATGATTATGAAACACTCTAAACAAATTAGAGGAAAAGCTAGAATGGTTATAAATTATAAAGAATTAAACAAATATACTAAATTTGATGGTTACTTTCTACCAACTAAAGAAATACTAATAAATCTTGCAAAAGGAAAACAATATTATTCTAAATTTGATTGTAAATCAGGATTCTGGCAAGTAAAAATGGAAGAAGATAGTATACAATATACTGCATTTATCACACCTCAAGGAAAATATGAATGGTTAGTTATGCCATTTGATTTGAAAAATGCACCACATGTCCACAAATATACCAAAGAAAGATGGATAATATATTTAAAAAGTTTAATGAATTTCTAATTGTTTGTATTGATGATATATTAATATGTTATAATAGTAAAGAAGAGCATAGAAATCATTTAATCCAATTTATTAATGAATGTAAAAAAGAAGGAATTGTACTATCTAAAAAGAAATCTATAATAGAAAAACAAGAGATAGACTTTCTTGGATTATCAATAGATAAAAGAGGGATAAAATTACAGACTCATATATGCAAAAAGATAGAAAGTTTTCCAGATAAATTAGAATCCAAAGAAAAAATTCAAAAATTTTTAGGATGTTTAAATTATGCAGAAGGATTTATTGAAAATATTTCTAAGAAAAGACATAAAATCCAAATTTTTCTTAGAAAAAGAAATACTAAGGGATGGAATGAAGAACATACAGAAATAGTTAAATCATTAAAAGAAGAATGTAAAAATTTACCAAAATTAAGGTTACCAGATGAAAAAGATAATTTGATTATTAATACTGATGCCTCAGATAAATATTGGGCAACAATATTAAAAACAAATCTTAATGAAATTTGTAGATATTCAAGTGGAACATTTAACCAAGCAAAAATAAATTATACTACTCATGAAAAAGAATTACTAGCAATTATTAGAGGAATAAAAAAGTTCTCATTGTTTTTATTATCTAGAAATTTATTGTTGAAACTGATAATTTTCAAGTTGCAGGATTAATCAGGAATAAATTACCATCAGAACCTCAATACAGAAGGCTCCATAGAAGGCAAGCTTATTTAACATTTTATAATTTTGATATAGTCCATATTAAAGGAGTTAACAATTTTCTTGCAGATTTTCTCAGTAGAAACATAGAATTTGCTGATGGATAAAGCCAAGGCCATGGAGTTATACTAATCTATTCTACATATACAAGAAAGGACAAATTTTCTTAAAGAAAAATCTGAAGATATAAGCTCTGGAGCAACCCAAATCTCAGAGATGTTCAACTCAAATATGAAAATATTATTGAACATCACTACTGAACATCATAAATAAGCCATTGAACTCAAAAATCAAGTTGATGCTATTGCAGCACAACTAAAAAATATATTGTTTGAAACAGATATACCAAAGAGCTCAGAAATGAGTTTTCCAAATCAATACTAAACAAGAACAGCTGGAAGTAGCAGTGGACCAGACGTGACAACATACCAACTGATAATAAAGGAGATTTCATTTCTGTATCATCAACCAAGAAAGTTATGATACATGAAGATAAAAGAGATACCAAAACAATTAGCATCATAGGTTAAGAAGATAAAATTCCTTTAGATCCAAACGAAGAAAAATATGTCGAAATAGTCAAAATCGCTTAGGAAATAAAAATAAGTTATTCATATTTCATTTCTCCGAGAAATAATGTTTATCCTAGAATAACAGTTATGGAAGGAGGCGACCCTTCATTCATAAAAATCATGACAGACTATGGATTCATGAATTTGATTTATCCAGGAAAAGATTTTACTGAAATTTCAAAGTTTGATGACATATTTATTAAGGAAGTATCCAGATTTGTCAAGGGAAGGAAAATATTTTTAAAATTATATTCAATCAGTCCAGAATATGATGAAGTTGTTTACTATTCAGTTGAACACAAAATCTCAATTGGATATGTTGCAGTCAATTTCCAAATTGATGTTACAGTGAATAATAGAAAAGTCCCAATAGTGACAAAATCATGGATCAGACATAGAAGAGCACTTGAAATTAAAGCCATCTACAACATTGCCAAAAATTTGTTTGATAAAAAATTCTCGTGCCTGTGCCAATATAAAAATTGGATGTTGGTATCCAATGGAGGATATGCAAAATCAGAAATTTTAAAAGATTACATTACAAGATATACATCGATTTTCAGGATATCCCACCACTATAAAAGAATCCTGCCAGCTAAGGGAGTGCCCCAACTGCATGTGAAGAAATGAAAGAAGAAGACAAAGGTGTATAAAGGACAATAATACTACATGTGAAGATATTGAAGATAAGGAGCAAAAATAGAAAAGATGCTCTTTGGATAGAAAAGTTGAACCAACATGGGAAGATGTAGGCCCAAAGAAGAAAATAGAAAGGAAAGTGTGCCTTGCTGATGTATTCAATGATGTAATAGAGCCTAGAAAACTTGCATAAATAGAGACATTACCAGAGAAGAAAATCATCTCATCCTATCTAGAATTCTCGAGTTGTAAGCAATAGCCTATTCTCAGTTTAAAAAACCAATTTTTCTGGAAACCCTTTGTACCAAATTAAAGTCTTGTATCAATCCTAAATAAATTTCAATATTTTGATATCAATATGAGTTTCTAAATATTTTTTCCATAGATTCTTGAAAGATCAAATAGAAAGTTTCCTTCTTATTTTAACAAAAAGAGAGTTTTCCTTAATAGAAATCTAAAGTTTTATTCTTTAGAAGTTGATACAGTGGGAGCAAGTAGCTGAAACAATAACAATTCCGTGAAGGCAGGAGGCCGTTGAAGAAAGCAGTTTACAGATTCAGGGCTCGAAGGTCACTCAGTTCTAAGAATACAGGTCTAGATCAAATCTAAGGTAAAACTGTTAAACTTTTGTTAAAATTAGAATGAATCTTTTAAAGGTCTTAAAAGAATCGCAGGGATAACTGCATGATGATTATTTTGATAAATGTCAGGATATACAATTGAAGGATTAGATATTTATTAGAAAGAATGTTAGAAGAAATAAAGAATATTATATTTCAATTAAAAAATACAAATTTACCATTTAAAGAATACAGTACTTTAATTAGAAAATATGAGATGAATATTGCAAATTATTCTTATTTATTAGATCATAGAATGATTTTACATTCAAATATCCAAAATAGAGTTAACAGAAGATAGAATGTTTAAAAGATTAGGACATATGTTGCAATATAGAAAGAATCATTTCATTAGGGGTAATATAGACATTTCCATAAAAAGAAATAGTAACAGGCTAAATAGAAAAATCTCCCCAGCACATGACAATTAATAGCACTATTCGCAATTAATGAGCCCAATATCTAAAGCCTAATTGAAAATTGTCACCACTAGATGTTGGTTTAAGTCTGAAAGACACGTACATCTATTATACAGTATTATAATGTCAACTTTGTTTTATATTTATTATCTATTCCCTTCTCGAACCTCGCGGGACTTGTTGGAACAATTTTAAAAGAAAATATTGAACATTTCATTTTAAAGTATTTAATCTTCAATTTTATTTTGCCTTGNCTCTCTCTCTCTCTCTCATATACACACACTAACATTCAGATACACTGCATTTATCTAATCTTCAATTTTTCACAATTGAGTTTATGAACTTACGAACAAAATTGTGACATTTTAACGCACAAAATCGCATTTTTTTATGATTGACTAAAATGCGAGAAGAGTGTCACATTGAATCAAACATAACAAAATCAATGACATTGAAATTTCAATCATCTCTGAGTGTCGTTTACTCGACATTATTACCTTCTATATATTTGCAGTTTTACCAATTCCAAATATGGAGGCCGTGGAGCAACCAAGACCAAGAGCCTCAAGGGAACTTGCAGAGTGTGGTGCCATTTGTTCCTCGCACAAGGATTGCGTTTCCCATTGTAATTACTGTTATCCAGGAACAGCTGGTAGTACCATGGGCAGATGTACGATGTACTCCTCGTCCGTAATGAATTTGAAACGTAATATTGGACAAAATTGAAGAGTACACGTAAATTTGAAAACCCGTCCAATACTATACAATCTACTTTATCAAATAAGACAAAATGCTTGAAATCGTCATTGGCTACATGAAGTTTGTATTGTTTTTTGTTCTGAAAACAAATATTGAATGGGAATTTCAATATGCTATTAGTAAATTCTGCATTGGGTGAGGATTTGATCTTTCGTGAGGATTCAATGGAATTTGGTGATTGAATTTATTAAAAATCTAAATTAAACGAATCTTCAAAAAAATTCTGTAACGAAAATGAAAACTTATTTTACGGCTAGATTTATTCTCTCATATATAGCACCCACACTCGAGTCAGAGCAACATAGGAGCATACGAAAGCCTTCGATTGGTTCAAGTCTCGTTGTCACCCATTTATTAAAATTGTCATGGTAGGCATTCTTTTTAGTGTTTGTCTTCTTAATTACTTAGACAGCATTATTGATATGGAATTCAAATGGTTTTGAAAGATGATAGAAGCCTGCAATATTAGAACAAAAATCTTATGAACTTACAGCATGTGATAATGTTGTTGAGCACCTTATATCAGGATTTTGGTTTTGTTATACCAAGCTAGGAAGCAAAATGAGCAATCCAAACCAAACAACTGGTCAATATTTAAGATCCCAAAAAGCAAAAATATGCAATGATTTACATACCATCTTTCAAAATTTAGTAGCAACTACACATGCTTTCAGCTGAACTATAGATGAGTTGCTTCTTCATATACAAATCCGGGCTACTCTCTTCTTACATGATGTCCTGAGAGGTCCCTATGGAAAAAACTTTAAAATGTCTTGTGAACGAAGCTGTACTATAAGTTGCTACTTGCTTCAATACAATTTTTGATTTTTATGTTAGGAATCCCACGTCGTTTTGCATCCGCAAGTGCAGTTCTCAACTTCTTCGTTTAGTTTCTGCAAAAGCATGAAAACAATGTCCAGAGAAAGGAAAAAGAAGGTGGGGAGGCAGGGTGTTTTTTATGTAAGAGTCATAAGAAGTTACTCCTACTCATGATTATTTGACAGTCTATTTTATGCACAATGCCTTTTGGTTTAGATTTAAGTCATGCCCTTGATGTTGTCGACAGGAATTCAAAAAGGTAATACTAAAACTAATTTCCGAACATGTATTAAGGAATAGATGTTATATCTGGAGTTTAGAAGAGTTTAAGGTATGTTATATAAATATTCGGGTATTTTAAATTTTATATCCAAAAATTGTGAGAGAAACATCATAAGACTGAAGAATAATTTGCAAAATATGCTCAAGCTGAACCTACAACATAGTGAAACATGTTTGGACATTAAAGAAAAATATAGTAAAGAGTAAGAATTCCTGGAATAATGAGGTTTCATCATTGCTGGAGAATTGTTGTGGAGTGGGAGTTTGAAAAGAATTATGCTATTTGTACATTGGCGTTGAGGTGTCCCCATACCAACTTGTCAACGGCAGTGTACGTATAGCAAAACCCGTTTTAAAAGTTGATATCCGTGGTGTGATGTTTTGATCATATCAGTATTTGGAATACGAATACAATTTTGGGTTAGAATTATATTCTTCTTACTATAATCTTTACCATATTTACCTACCATAATCTTTCCTGAAAGGACTTATTTACTAATTACATGATGAAATTATTTTGAAAATGATCAAAACAGTTGAAATTACTCTCTTAAACAACGAAACAGATGAAAATCCACGGAAAGCCAAATCTTCGACAAAAAGGAATCGGGTTTATAAGGCTTTTTATGTGCACTGTGCTGCATCAATTATTCCCAAAAAAGAAGATTTGATTAAATATATCTACTAACCTGAACCTGGTTTTGAAGGGTTTTTATGTGTTGAACTGCCAAATCCAGCATATCAGCATAGCTAGTTTGCTGCAATGACACATCCTCTTAAAATCGACTCTAAAAATATGTGGCAATGTCGATCCAACATAATTAGAAACAGACTAATCGACTCCATAATTCCTTGAAAATGACATATCTGCTACCTCAGATCTGGTATGAAGGCTTGCCTCTTAACCAATATTAGATCCATTGCGGTTATTATCCCTAGGATTTGGCCTACTTTCTTTTTCTACCATCTTTCAAGAAAGGCAGTTAAAGAACACGACAAAGAGAAATGGTGATTAGGTCTCTTTCATCGTTGATCATGCGGATCATTGGGGTTCTTATAACCATTTCGCTTTTCCTACTTTATACGCATATTTAACACGCTCACCACCACATTAAATTTGATAGTAATGAGCTCCTCTTTGATGAAAGAACGTCAATTTAGAATAGGGAAGTATTACCTTGTCCATGTTGGGAACAAGATCCTGTAACTTCTTTAACTTTCCGCTAATTCGCGTCCTTCTCTCCTGTATTAGAGAACAAACATCATCACAAGGTAAAAATTTAAAGCATTTTATTCAATCTGAGTACCAAGACAATGGATATCAATTGACAATATTAGAAGAGAAAAATAACAGCCTTTTCTAAAGACGAAAAGTCCGAATGATAAAATTTCTATTATTTTTTCCCCCCGAAGTGAGAGGCCGAAGTTCACTCTTACCCTTTCTGCTATGCTGCGAGGATGTGTTGCACAACCACGTTTTGCTCGAATTTTGCATGGAACTGAATCTTCAGGTATGTGTAGTAACTTATCCATTGCAGCCATCTCTAGTGCTGTCTCCGATATGCTAAAGTGAAACTGATAACAGAATGAAAATTTGTTAGTCGAAGTAACTTTTGAAGATCTAAGAATATGATCAAAGAGTATTTATTATACCTGAGATTCAATGGTGTTTAGATCATTGACAACCTCGCTGCTGATGTTCTTAGCTCTCTTAGTTGGTGGTGCAGAGAACATTATAGCATTGTCGTCGTCCCAGGTTCCCATACCAAAACCGGCGTTTGTATAAGAATGAGTAGATTTTCTTTGGCCGTTATTCATATTAATGACATCAACAACATTCTCGTTTTCTTCAGAAATCCGAGAAAGAGTTTCCGGCCTTGTAAAGCTGAGTTGAGAGTTCAATCTTGTTATACCTCGACCGTTGTCTGATACCTCTTTAGGATCATAGCTTCTTATCCCCCTTGTAATTGAAAAACCTACTTTTATTCAAGAGCTAGCACATTAGTACTGAAGCAAAATAGCTAGTGAAAACTAATGGAAATCTGTTTATAAGTACTTCTCGTTCTTTAACTTTCTAAAGCTGTGTGATCAAACAAAGCAATGCATTTAACTCTTAGGTATGGCAATAGGCGGGGCGGGATTAAAATATCCTCATTTCCCACCCCTTCCCCATATACTTAAAATACTCATAGTTGGGTCTCGATCATGTTCTCCATTGTCGCCCTAGTTTTCCAACTAACGAGAATGGGGCGGTGCAACACAGGAGTTGAACATTTTGTCATTCTTAAATACGTAAAGTTAACCGTGTTGAGACTATTCAAACTATCAGATAGAGGTCTTAGATCCAAGTAGAAGACATTCAATCCAATGTCCAATTCATTTCTAAGAATGTGAACAATTAGCACTTGTTTGGTGTGGATTAAAGCTCGTTAAAAAATTTCAAGTCAAAGTCAACGATTAATTTCAATTCCTCTTATTTTATGAAAATCACAACTTTTCAACCATATATTAGATTAATTTTTAATAAAAACTAGTTTTAATATGCACCACACCAAATAGGGGATAAATCTTCAAACTAGGTTGACCTAAAACAACTGCAAAAATATAAACTGATTAGTTTTCTTTTTGTTTAAAATTTAATTCTTTAATAAATAATAGTCGGCCCAACACAGCAATGGGTCTGGACCGTTCAAAATGCTAGTTGGGCCGTGATGGGTTTAGTCAGTCCAATATGACTATGAGTACACATTTCCATTACCCGGGTCTAGATGGATACTTAAACAAGATCCGGGTAACTTCCAGGGAGCACGTGAAGTTCACGGGTTGGAAAAGCAGGAGTCACGTGACATCGTCCACTTGATGAGAAATGCATGTATCTTCCCAACATTGGTGTGTGTGTTGAATCTATCCACTTCAAAACAAGTGGTCTAAAATATGAATATCATTATCTTATAAGCCCTTTTTTCAATTTTTAATTGTCCACTTGCTTCTTACATTTGGAATTCAATGTCCCTAATAATTCACTACCACCAACAAATGATTTATGCTATTGGTACTGGTACAGGGACAGGGATAAAAAATAAGGCCTGAGGTGGACTGAGATGCATCCACCTCAACTCCTGTTTTTAAATTTGTCCCCAACTCTATACGAGTAGCCGAGCTGCTAACAAATATCAAGTATTAAAGTTCATCATCTAGCACCCAATATTATAAGATATAACAAAAGGGATAAAATTTATTTGAGGTTATCGAACTCTCATAGACATCTCAATTTGGGTCACTAAACTTTAAATTCTATAACATTTCATCTCCCAAATTGATGAAAATAACTTAAGACGACCGTCATACATCAACGAATCTTCAACATAATTGCCAATTGATATGCCGAATTATTACTACGTCATGTCACAAAAGTGTAGGAAAAAAAAAACCATTTAACATTCAATATAAAGACGTTATAACCTTCATTTTATCATTTTTGGTTCTCAGGGTGAGACGGCGCTAAGAAAGTTTCGTCAATGTGAGGACGATAGGTAATGAGATTTGAAACGGGGTTAAATTTTAATGATCTAAAAGAGATTTTGTTAAAAATTTTAGCGACAGGATGAAATTTACCCTATACTCTAATGAAGTCAATGGAGAGAGATGAGTCTTGACTTAGACAAAGCGGTTTAGTTATAAACCGTGGGCGTTCAAAAACTTGAAGAGCTAAACACGTAAACATTTTATCAAATTTGCCACATTGGGTAATTTTTTTTTTTTTTTTGGGTTTCCTATTAAACATGCACTATTTGAATATGTTCACGTCTATATATATATATATATAATCTCTTAAGCACCCGTGCGTAGCTAAACACCGATGACATGACACATCATTTAATTGGTAAATCATTAAATACATTGGTCTCACTATTAACTTATTCACCAATTGAATTATGTGTCGTGTCATCGGTGTTTAACATAAACTAAGTATCGTTGCTTATGAGATAATTTCCGTGTATATATATATATTGAAATTCTTTTAGTCAAATTAATTTTGCATAGTATTAAAAACATGAAAATTTTATCAATTATTGAATAACATACTTGATTGTGTCATTTAGATATCAATTTGGTAAGGTTAGACCATGAGGTAAATCGAGAAGAAAATACAAAATGTACTCTAGCATGGCCAAATTCTGAACCCTAATTGAATTAGACCAAAAGATTGGGACATATTTAAAAAATATATGAATTTTCTTTCGTAACATAGAAACAAATGAAAGATTTTAATAACAGTCGTTGTGGCATAAATTTTGAGAATCTTGATTTTAAAACCTCTTTTACGGGCAATAAATAGCATGTAGAATACTAATGAGTCATGACAATGCAAGATACGAGGGTGAAATTCATTTGTAGCACTAAACTTTCACCAAAATTTTGCTTGGTTCATTAACTTTAATTTGTCTCAAATGGGTCACTAAAATTCAATTTTCTTTCAAATTTTATGAAACGTGGCTGAAGTTCAACTACTTGAAGTTTAATGACCCAATTGAAATTCCGCTGAAATTTTAGTAACCACGTATGAAATTTACCCAACTTTAAAAGTAAGCATGAGGCTAAAATGGTCATTTTAGAGTCATTAGCGAAAAACTAAAAAGAGAAAGAAAACAAAAGCGTCATAGACTTTTGCAACTTCATGGAAATTAAAGAATAGAAAATAGAAAGAAAAAGTTGACGAACCATTATCTCCAGCAGCAGTTGCAAGTTGATTAAGAAAACCAGCTGGTGAGCTACTATGACGAATCAAAGTTGAACGAGAAGACGACGCGACACCGCCGCCGCCGCCGCCTCCACTTCCACCACCAGTGGCTATCTCATTAAACCCATAAGACCTTTGCAACCCAGCAGTCTTATTTTGTTGTTCTCTAGGATTGTTTGCTCCCCCACCATTATTACTCCCATCCTTAGAAATGGATTCAGAAGGATCAGACGAGAAGAATCGGGAAAATTCACGACCGCGACCAACGACTGAGTCGACTGCCGCAGTTAACAGAGAGCCAGGGGCTGAGCCGTAACGCATGAGGCCGCTGCTGCCGGTGCCACCACTGCCGCTGGGGCCCATTGAGCCTTGCGATGATGAAGAGGTAGAAGATGGGTACATATTCTTGTTCTGAGAGGGGGTGAAGAGAGAGAGAGGGAAAGATGGAGAGAGTTGGGATTTTAAAAGTGGATGCAACTTGTAGAGGAAAAGTCCGGAGATAATTATAATATTACAAGTGGCTGTAGACTTGTAGAAAATGAGGCCTCATGCACAACAGTGTCCTTGTCAGTTAGTCTAACGTTATATTTCCTTAGAGCAAATTATAGTAAGAACTAAGAAGCAATGGTTGGGCGGAAAACAGCAAAAGATCAGATGGTTGAATTGGATAAACCGGTCGGTTCAAACTAGCTAGGTATAGGGTCAACGTTTAAGTGATTGAGTTAGGGTCGAACCAATGTTAAAAGTTGACCCACACCCAATAAATGCGTGGGACCCACCCCTATGTGAGGGGCGAGTAGCCCGAAGTGTAAAGCTTTGAGTACCTGTAGCAAAATCTATGGTTATATTGTTACAAATATTTTATTGTGTTCCATCACTTTTTAATTGCACTAAAAGTTTCAGTAATTGCTTATTGTCGTACATCCTTCTCCTAACCTTTCTTATGTTTCATTCTTATTGTCAATCTTTTATTAATTAGTATATCAGGAAAAAAAAATTGATGTCAACGTTCAACTTAAGTTCACGTTAAGGGGAAAGTCTTGAGTTTGAATCGATAGAGACATAAAAGAAGTCCACATCTTAGGAGGGAAGGTCTTGAGTATAGTTTTTTGGAGGACTTGAATTAGATATACACTAGAAAGTAAGTATGATAACTATGCAAGGAACAGTCCCCGAGCAAAATGGCTCGTAGGGAAAGGTTTGTGGTTGTACAGGAGCCCTCTATTTGACTCAAAGAGATCATCTCTCGGTCACAGAGTGAAGCATCGATTGGAAAGATGGAGTTCATGACATGCTTTCTCAACAACATAGGGAAAGAATATGATCATGTTGTTGGAATCCAAACTCTAAACGATAATACCTTGATTTTAAGCATGACCAAATGAATGGTTTCCTTGTAAATATAATTAAGTTAGAAACCATTTGTAAATATTAACGTAATGAGTAAAAGTAGACAAGAATCGAAGGAAAATTCATGATTTTACTTGCATGTGTTTGTGCATGTGCTATTGTATGTATACTTGCACTCATAAATTCACAATACTTTTATGTAAATATATCGCTATTGATGCTGTTGGTAATCATATAACTAATTTAGGGACATCATATAGTGTAGGCTTTGACAGGAGGAATGAAAGCGAAAATGCAAATAGCTACCAAGTTCGAGGTAACTTGGAAGGCAGTTGTGTTATATGTAAATAATAATTTACCAACATAATATGACGTGATTTTAATTGGATCAAAATCTCATTAATTAAATAACTTTCCCACTTATATTTTGACATCTCATTATTATGTAAATAGCTATGTACAATAAGTATTTTCTCTTGAAAGGATGGGAAAGTAAAAGCCCGAGGTGACCCAGAATATGTGAGGGCCACATGTGAAGCAAGCTTAAAGTGGGTAAACATTGATTGCATTGATCTCTTTATGTTCATCGATTTGACACTAGTGTGCCTATTCATCTTACAACATCTTGATGCCAATCATCTTTACTACGAAGAATGATAATATTTTTTCTTTAACTAAGTGGATTGCTTGCATCCTTCAAAATATTGTCTCGTGTAATATATATATATATATATATATATA